AACTGCAAAGATGATGATGGTACTGGTCACAAGGCTACACCTATGATGCCAAGATGCCAGCTGCGATTGGCACTTGTCCTGGTGACAATCAAGTTCGGCCTCGCCGCTCTCGCCCGAAACAGGGAATGAGTTGCTTGGGGATACTCATGATACCAAGGATTGAGGGAGGGATCCTTTCTTCTTCGGGGATGCGGTTGCCCTGTTGGGGAGCATGCCCTGCCCTCTCCGCGATGAGGTAAGACAGCAAAAAGCACTCAGGACCTCCTGATTCGATACTACCTCCGTGTGTCTTTGCACTATGGCCGTTCTCGGTCCTTCGATTGGTGCTGCCGCTGCAGCGTGGGCCTTCCTGTCGGATCGACGCTGTGCCCCCGTCGTTCAGCATGGCACGCTTGTCCCAGCGCGGGCCACTTGCCTGGACCCGAGTCCTTCCTCATCGTTGTCGCCCCGCTCCTCTCGGCTGTCCCATGGTGGCCCTGCTCCTCCCGCTCCTCCCGCTCCAGCTCCAGCTGCTGTCCGCCCTCGTCCTCCCCCTTCCTCCTCCTCCTCCTCCTCCCTTTCCTCAGCTTCGCCCTCCTGTTCATCCGCCACCTCCTCCAATGTGCAGAGCTCCCCTGCACCGACTGCGCGCATGACCATGGCGTCCCTTTTTGGGAGACCCCGGTCCGCCATGACTGAAGGGGCCCTGGGACACACAAATAAATACACACAACTAACAGGATTCCCGATATTTTCCCATATGTTCGGGGTTTGTGTCTTCCCCCCCACTTCACATATTTCCTACATTTTCTGGGGAATCGACGATTGATTGTGTCTGTGTTTTTTCCCTCCAGAATGACACCCGTCGGCACACAGAGCACAGACCGGCGCGGTGCCCAAAAAAGGAGGGGCACGATGTCGGATTTGGCCCGAACGCACCCAGCGCGTCCTCGCCACCTGCCCCGCCCGACCCCTCCCCCACCCGAAGGGGCTCAGGGACACACAAATAGGTACAGACACAAATCCGAAGACTTCCCCTTCTTTCCCAAGCATCCTGTGCTGCTTGGTCTTCGTTTTGAAGAGACGGTCCCCGCGTTCCTCCTCTTCTCCTCCTCCTCCTTCTCCTCCTTCTCCTCCTCCTCCTTCTCCTCCTCCTCCTTCTCCTCCTTCTCCTCCTCCTCCTCCATCATCCCGTCACCTCCCTTACTTTGGCACACACTCCTCACACGTTTCGCGGCACCATAAGAAGCTTCATTTACTGCCCCAGTGGCACCGTCCACATGCATCGGCCACACCCATTTCGGCACACCCCTCACACACGCTTCCTGGAGCTCCACCCAAGGCCCCAGTGGCACCGTCCACATGCGTCCGCCACATCCATTTCGGCACACCCCTCACACGCTTCGTGGCCCCACAAAGAGCTCCACCCGAAGCCTCAGTGGCACCGTCCACATGCGGCCGCCACAACCACTTCGGCACACCCCTTACACGCTTCGTGGCCCCACCGGGAGCTCCACCCAAGGCCCCAGTGGCACCGTCCACATGCGCCCGTTACACCCATTTCGGACCATCCCTCACACGCTTCGTGACCCCATCGGGAGCTCCACCCAAGGCCCCAGTGGCACCGTCCACATGCTTCCGCCACACCCATTTCGGCACACCCCTCACGCGTTTCGTGGCCCAACAGGGAACTCCACCCAAAGCTTCAGTGGCACCGTCCACATTTGTCCGCCACACCCATTTCGGCACACCCCGCACATGTTTCGCGGCCCCACCAAGAGCTCCACCCCAGGCCCAAATGGCGCCGTCCACATGCGTCCACCACACCCATTTCGGCACACCGCTTACGCGCTTCGTGGCCCCACAAGGAGCTCCACCCAAGACCCCAGTGGCACCGTCCACATGCGTCCGCCCCACCCATTTCGGCACACTCCTCACACGTTTCGTGGCCCCACAGGGAGCTCCACCCGAGGCCCCATAGGCACCGTCCACATGCGTCCGCCACACCCTCTTCGGCACACCCCTCACACGCTTTGTGGCCCCATAGGGAGCCCCACCCAAGGCACAAGAAGCACCGTCCATGTGCGTCCGCCAGACCCATGTCGGCACACCCCTCACACGTTTCGTGGCCCCATAGGGAGCTCCACAGCTCCACCCAAAGCCCCAATGGCACCGTCCACATGCGTCCGCCACAACAATTTCGGCACACCCCTCACACGCTCCGTGGCCCCACAAGGAGCTCCACCCAAGGCCCCAGTGGCACCGTCCACATGCGTCCGCTCCACCCATTTCGGCACATTCCTCACACGCTTCGTGGCCACATAGGGAGCTCCACCCCAAGCCCAAATGGCACCGTCCACATGCGTCCGCCCCACCCATTTCGGCACACCCCTCACACGTTTCGTGGCCCCACAAGGAGCTCCACCCAAGGCCCCAGGGGCCCCAGTGGCACCGTCCACATGCGTCCGCCACACCCATTTCGGCACACCCCTCACACGCTTCGTGGCCCAACAGGGGGTTCCACGTCGACATGCGTCCGCCACACCCTTACACGCTTTGTGGCCCCATCGGGAGCTCCACCCAAGGCCCAATGGCACCGTCCACATGCGTCTGCCACATCCATTTCGGCACACCCCTCACACGTGTCGTGGCCCCACAGGGAGCCCCACCCAAGGCCCCAGTGGCACCGTCCACATGCGTCCGCCACACCCTCTTCGGCACACCCCTTACACGCTTTGTGGCCCCATCGGGAGCTCCACCGAAGGCTTCAATGGCACCGTCCACATGCGTCCGCCACACCCATCTCGGCACACCCCTCACACGTGTCGTGGCCCCACAGGGAGCTCCACCCAAGGCCCCAGTAGCACCGTCCACATGCGTCCGACACACACACACACAAACATTCCGGCACACCCCTCACACGCATCGTGACCCCATAGGGAGCTCCACCCAAGGCCCAAGTAGCACCGTCCACATGCGTCCGCCACACCCTCTTTGGCACACCCCTCACACGCTTCGTGGCCACATAGGGATCTCCACCCCAGGCCCAAATGGCACCGTCCACATGCGTCCGCCACACCCATTTCGGCACACCCCTCACACGTTCCATGGCCCCACAGGGATCTCCACCCAAGGCCCCAGTGGCACCGTCCACATGCGTCCGCCCCACCCATTTCGGCACACTCCTCACACGCTTCGTGACCCCATAGAGAGCGCCACCGAAGAAGAATTTCACAATTGCGGTACTCACAAATGCATATGGTTGGGTCATTCGCCAGGCCAATCTGTGAAATTTTCGCGGTTTTCGTTTTCCGCGCACTTCCCATATTTTCTCATATTTTCGTTGAAATAAGCGATAGGCGATTGATAATGTCTATGCTCTTCCCCTCCCGACCACCTCCTCCCTCCCCCCCTCAAGCACCCCTTGGCGCACCCGTCTACCGTCGGCTGGAACCGCCAGCGAACCCGCCACTCACCCTCGGCAGCCAGCGGCGCCGTTCTGCCGTCCCCCCCTCGCCCCCCCCCCTCCTCCCCCTCCCTCCCCCTCCCTCCCCCTCCTCTCCCTCGCCCTCCCCCCCTTTCCCTCCTCCCTCCCCCTCCCTTTCCCCCCCCCCCACCCCCTCCCTCGCCCTCCCCCCTCCCTCTCCCTCTCCCTCCCGCATGCTCCCTCCCATTACCCCTCCGCCCTGAGGCTGCCTGGGATCACAACGGCGCCCAGGCAATCGCAAGGACCCCTCGGATCGCAGGAACCACGGAATGTGCGTCGTATCAAACTGCCTGGCACGGAATCGATAGAGATGCACAACGACGCAATGAAATCGTTGGGACCCATGGGATCAAAGAGCCACGGAAGTGAGCGTTTTCTTATTCGGCGTTTCGACTGGCTCCACACCTCTGTGTATTGCGACTGTTTGCAGCAGTGCGTCCGTTATCGGGGAGGCTCCACCTGCTCGAAACAGGCGCCCCAAACGGCCAAGATCTACTCCACGAGGGGGGCGGGGAGGGGGGGTGCGAGGGCCCGCGCCGATCGGCGAAACAATGAAAACGAAAACGACGGCGAATGCGAGTCGGATCGGGCCTGCCCTGAGTGGGCCCTGGAAACGACAGGGCCGTTTTTGTTGCCGGTTCCGACGCCGTTCCTTTACCGGTTCCGTCGCCGTTGTTTGACCGATTCCGGCTCCGGTTCCAATCCTGGAGCCGTTTTTTTGCCGTTTGATGTCGCCGTTTGTTTGCCGTTTCCATTTGCAAGGGACATTTTTGCGGAAACGGTGAAAAAACGGCCCTGCCGACCGAAATCGATACCGGGTGGATCAGATCGACATTGGCCCTGGCCTCGGCTGCTGCGTCACAGCTCGGGCCCCTGGCGGCCGTGCCGGAGGATCACTGAAGGGGCCCAGGGACACAGTCCCAGGATTCCGGGTACTTTCTTGCATGTTCTGGGCATTCGTCTTCCCCCCCCGTTTCGGGAGCGGCCAAGTAGAGGGGTGTCCAAGAGGGGTGTTTGCAAATCATGACCGGCGGCATGTGCGCCGCCCAGCGGGGGGGCCAGGGACGTAACGAAATAAGAAGAGGCGCCATGAAACCTGGGGAGATATCATGGCCCCCGCCATGACATCCACCCCCCCTAGTCATCACCCCCCTCTTGTCCGCCCCCGACCATTGCCCATGCTCCCCAGACTCTCCTGGGGATCGACGACTCCTCGTGTCTGTGTTTTCTCTCCCTCCCGAGCTCCGGGCACCCGCGGAGCGAACCCGGCGAGGCGCAGCTGCCCAGGCGCACCCCGCGGCCGGGAAGCCGTCGGGGGCCGAGGGAGACGCCGACGAACCTCGAGCCTCGGAGCGCCTTCCTCCTCCTCCTCCTCCTCCTCCTCCTCCTCCTCCACCCTCCTCCTCCTCCTCCTCCTCCTCCTCCTCCTCCTCCTCCACCCTCCTCCTCCTCCTCCTCCTCCACCCTCCCTCTCCTCCTCCTCTTCCTCCTCCTCGCCGCCCCCTCGAAGGTCGCGGCCCCGCGGCGGGGACGCCTCCCCGCCGGCGCTCCTGACGGACTCCTCGAGGATGCGCAGGACCTGCCCCGGCCCCGCAGCTCGACGCGCCGGCGGGTGGAGGAGGAACAAAGGAGGAGGAGGAGGAGGAGGAGGAGGAGGAGGAGGAGGACCAGGAGGAGGAGGAGGAGAAGGAGGAGGAGGAGGAGGAGGAGGAGGAGGACGAGGACGAGGAGGAGAAGGATGGGGAGGACGAGGAGGAGGAGGAGGAGGAAGAGGAGGATGGGGAGGAGGAGGAGGAGGAGGATGAGGAGGAGGAGGAGGAGGAGGACGAGGAAGAAAAGGAGGAGGACCACCATCACCACCGCCGTCGCCGTCGCCGTTGCCGTCATCATCGTCGTCGTCACCGCCACCCCCAGCATCAGCAGCATCGCCCACATCTAAAGCAACACCGCCATCACCATCACCCTACACAATATCATCCTTACCACCATCACCATCAGCATGCTGAACAACAGCACCAACAACACGATCACGAACATCATACAACGCCATCATCGAAAGCGTCGTCATCGTCGCCACACAATAGATCGCCATTGCGTCGCCATCACCATCGTCCTTACAACACGTCATTGTCGTCATCATCATAATCATCCGCATCACCACCGTAATCATCATCACCACCATTTACGTCATCATCGTCATCATTAACATGATATTACTCAGCATTCCGATCATCATCAACATGATCAGCATCACACAAACCACCGCAATCATCACCACCACCATCGTCCGCATCATCATCATGGTCGCCATCATCAACACCAGAACCATCATGATGATTAGCATCACCATCGCCGACACCATCGTCATTTTCATAAACAGCATCATCATTACCACCATCAAGGTCGTCGAGCACATCCTGGGCATCCACATGCGGACCCGACCCCTGCATGCCAGATATCTAAAACTCACGAAGGGGTTCGGCGCAAGGGGGATATCAGCAGAACCAGAGCGGGTGTGTCCGATGACCCATCGCCGACTGGACCCGCAAAGGTGGGGCCCGCAAAATGCGAAATATAACAACATCGAAGCGGGCCGGGCCTAACCGGAACGTGCGTCGCATCAGGCTGCCCCGGCACGGAATCGATGGAGATGCTTTTTGACGAGCAAGCTCGGGCGACCAGCGCTGCCGCAAGCGCCCGGAGGATGCGCCCGACTCAGTCGGGCACCTTGGGGAGCTGCTCAGTGGGAACCGATGGAGATGCACAACAGTGCCATGCAATCGGTGGGACCCATCGGATCGTGTAAACCACGGAAAACGCGAGCCGGACTGGGCTGGACGATCCGGGCACCCGCGGAGCGCTCTCGACGAACTGCAGCTGCCCGAACCGACGGAAACGCCCGAAAACCTCGAGCCTCGAATCTCGAAGCGCACCCTTCGCCCCCCCCCCCCCCCCTCGAAGTCGCACGCGTCCTCCTGTTGATTGCCCCCTCCCGTTGCCCTCCGCCCTGAGACACGACACGAGCCCGGCTAGACGAGATCGTCAGCGAATCGGGTCGACCAAAACGAACCATACTTCGAACTGTGCCTCCGAAGAGGTCGCAAACGTCCTCGCCCCCGCAACTGGCCATGCAGCTGGAGGCTTGGAGATGAGCACCGCGACCAAAAATAAGGGATTGCTTCCACCGGGGCTAGATGGTCCTAGAGCTCGATGTTGTTGGCAATATTTCGGTCACCCAAGGAGCCCGAATATCATACCACCATTGCCGGGATCGGGGTCATGTTCCCTCGGTGGAGGCAAGCCGCCGATATTGGAACGCGTTTCTGTATTTTTGGCAATGCTGGGCATTATAGAGGGGGGGGGGCCAGGGGGGGGGTATAGTGTAACGCCTGCTGTCTGGCCGTGCGCATGGCGGCAGTGCCCAGAGCGCACTGGGGGGGAGGGGCGCCGCGTTATGAGGGGGGAAAAAGGGGTGGCGGGGGTTATAGTGCCCATTGTGCCCCAAGCAAGAAAGAAACTTTTCCGTCAGCGGCGAGGCTGCGAAATCCGCTCCAGCGAGAAGCTAGGTAGGGGCACTAACTGGCGAACTGGCCGGCGAGCAAAGAGGGAAAGCAATACAGAAACACGTTCTTGGTGCTCGTGTCAACCTCGAGGCCTTCGGCGCAGGGTCCGGGTCGGAGAGCTCGGGGTGTCTGTAGAGTCAGGAGCGAAAGAAGGACGTACATGTACATGAATCCACGCTGGTCTCGCGAATCGAGGGGCCGTGTTCATGTACATAGCTGGGCGCGTACGTCCTTTGTGGGCTCCCGATAGAGGGGGCCCGCGAATCAGCTCACGCAGCGGAAGCGCTGGAAACGCCACTGAGTCGACGAAAGCACCCCGCGGCGAGACCCCAGCCGGCTGCGCGCCGCAGCCTTCGCGACCCCACACCCCCTCTGCGTATCCCCCCCGTCGTCGTCCGACCCGAAGGGGAAGGTGCTGCCCCCCCCCCTCTCGGGGGCCCGGGCGGCCCCCGGAGCACGCCCCCACGAGGCCCAGAGGGCCACAGAGGCTCCAGAGCGCAGCGGAAACCTGGGGGCACCTCGGGCCAGGAGCACTTTTTTGGCGGCGAGTAGG